AAAATTTAAAAAAAAAAAAAAAAGAAAGAGACAGACCGACCGACCAACCGACCGACCAGGGAAGCAACTGTATGAAAGACTTGAAATCTAATTGTTACTATAAGGTAATAAAACTGAATACAGAAATAGAATTCTAGGCTAGATCTAAAGTTTTCAGGTCATGTAATTTTAAACTCTCAACATGCAAATAGTAAATGTATTAAACAAATATATATTTTTTTATTGCAGCCATGTAGTATTATAGAGAAAGGTATATATTCTTAAGCCAAATGTATGTAAAATAAGTGTTTTGTCACTGTGGATAGGACAAGTAAAGACATTTTGAATGTTCATGTGACAAAACTGAAAATGGTGATTTTATTTCCCTTATATTTAATTATAGAAGAAAGAAGGTATCAAGTCTGTTCATAATGTTAATATTAACAATTTAAGATTTTCAAAGCACAAGTTGGAGAAGGGTGGATAAAACCTTGTTCAATATACTGAACTGAGAAAAATGGTAATTACTATGTCATACAGTAGCTCATGTAAATCAATGTCATTGAGTTGTCATAGACAAAAATGGAATATACACATTCCATTTTTTAGAATTGAAAAGAAGTGAAAAACTAAGAAAAAGTAGCAAAAGAAAGCATTACAGTTAGCACTGCCAGAGGTAGAGGTGAGATATACTGAAAATTAACTCAAAATTGATTTGAAAAATTAATCTCTGATCCAAGACACTAACACTTTTTTAAAAACTCATAACAGGATCTACAGTGACTCAATATACAGATCAGACATGTAGTGTTTCTCCTGTTTTCAGCCTCCCAAGCACTGGGATTACAGGTGGGCCACCACGCCCAGTCTTCTTAATCGCAGTCTCAGTGTGGCCTGGGGGCGGGGCCAGCACAGCACACCAGAGATCGAACCCAGTTCCTGAGTCTGTTTAAGCCAGCCCTTTAGCCTGCTGAGCTATCTGGCCAGCCCTCAACACTTGGCAAATTTTTATTAGGCAGAAATAAGGATATAGAATTCAAGCGAGCCAAACCTGCCCTGAAGGCATTCTGAGCCAGAAAGAAAAAAAAAAAAAAAAAAAGGAATACTGAGTATTCTTACAGATTTTCTGTATTTATTCTGAGCAGTTCTTGGTTAGCAGTAAGTGAAAGAAAGGGCCGGGGAGATAGCTCAGTAGAATAAATGCCTGCCTGGCAAGCATAGGGTCCTGAGTTCAATCCCTGGTACCGAAAAAACCAAAACCAAAACCAAAACCACAACCACCCCCCAAAAAAAATGCAGTAAATGAATATGAACATAAAGTCATATAATCTTATGGAAAGATAAAGGATTTAATCCTAAAAGAAGTACTACTTTTTTTAAAAAAAGTACTCTAACATCTCCAAAATAAGCAGGGACCTTTCTACTAGACTCAGTTCCTTTTCTAACTCCCACACTTATAATAGGAAAGCAGGACTTTTGCTTTGTTTTTTCAACTTAATTTTTTTTTTTTTTTAATGTATTTAGTAGGGGCTGGGGAGATGGCTCAGTGAAATAAGCGCTTCCCGGGCAAGCACAAGGGCCTGAGTTCAATCCTCGGTTCCACCAAAAAAAAAAAAAAAAAAAGATAAATGTATTTAGTACAAGGTCTACAGAGTCTCACTACACAGATCAGACTCCTAGTGATACTCCTGTTTTCAGCCTCCCAAGCCCTGGGATTACAGGCACGCGCCACCACGCCCCGTCTCAGTCTCCGGCACTGGAGGCGGGGGCAGCATGGTATGCTGGCGATGGAACCCCAGTCCCTGCCCCTGCCTAAGCAGGTACTTTAGTCCACAGAGCTATCTGGCTGGCCCCTCAACATATTAATATAAGCATCTATTACTCTTTTGTTCATTAAAACTATTATGTTCTCATAAATTCAAATCTAAAATTTGACTACTCAGCCGGGGAGATAGCTCAGTAGAATAACTACTTGCCTGGCACATGCAAGGGCCTGAGTTCAATCCCTGGTTAGAGTGGAGGATAAAATCTGACTCCTCAAAGTTCAGAAAAATTTGCATACTATATAATTTGCATATGATTTTAATAGATTCATATTCATATGATCAAAAACTCTTAAAAGGATGTTTAGTTAGAATGAATATATTCTTATAAGGCACCTATTGCATCTCTTGCTACTTAGAGTAACAACTGTACATTAAACACTTCTTATGGGCACTTTGTATGTGGTACCAGGGCCTTTCCACTGAGCTACACCCTTAAGACGTTTTATTTTTACTTTAAGCCACGTTGTTGCTAAGTTGTTCAGAATATGCTTGAACTTGTGATCTTCTACCTTAGCCTCCCAAATGCTTGGATTACAGGTGTGTGCCAAAACACCTGGGTGCAGTGCTTAGCTTTTAATTTTATTCATTTCATTTTTTTATTTTTGTTGGTCCCAGGGATTGAACTCAGGACCTTGCACTTGCCAGGCAAGCACTTATTCCACTGAGATATCTCCCTGGCCCTAGCACTTATTTATTTATTTATTTTTTAAACATTTATTATTTATTGTGTGTGTGTGTGTGTGTGTGTGTGTGGCCAGCTCAGCCCATCAGGGGGCGAGGCTGGATGGCATGTGGTGCTGGGGGATTGAACCGTGGTCCCTGTGCTTTGCCAAGCTTGTTCCAAGTAGGTGCCTTAGACCACTGAGCCATCTCACCAGCCCCGCACTTAGCTTTTTAACACTACTTTTTAGAGGCCTAAAGGTAGAGTTCAGTGATAGCATGTATAAAGACCTAAGTTTTATCCCTAGCATGAGAAAAAAAGAAATTATAATCATCACTTCTTAAAGATATCACCAAGTCTTGTTGAAGTGCGTTACAGCATGGCTGTCCCATGGTTCCAAGAGCCCTCCTAAATACTAAAATCTGTGGGTGTTCAAGCCCTTTCTCTAAAATGGCACATTATTTGCATATGACCTATGCACATCCTCCCAACTTAGATTTGTAACACCTGAACAATGTAAATAGTTGTTATACTATACTGTTTAGGAAATAATGATAAAAAGAAAAAAGTGTGTATGTGTTCAGTGCTGAAGCTGGATTATTTTCAACCTGCATTTAGTTAGATCTACAGATGTGGAAAGCACACATACAGTGCGCATCCTACTTCGCAGTCCTATTCCTTCTTCTCCTCTGTGCTTTTCTGGCCCAATACTTTAAAAGAACAGCAAACTAATCTTTGTGATATTATCTATACTCAAGGTTCTTTTAATGTTTTAAGTCTCCTCTTTCACAGCCAGCTTTTAAAAGAAACCTTTCTAGAATTCCAATCTAGATAGGACAAGAAGAGCTAAACTGCTTTTAATTTGAACAGTACAGTACTTCTACTAGGACTCACTACTTTGTCTCTAAAGCTTCTGAAATACTTTGACAATATCTTGGTTCTCCAAGGAACAGTTTTTACTTCTACTGATGAGTGTTCTAGAACAATGATTCTCAAAGAATGGTTCTCAATTAATATTACCAGAGGGCCCATTAGAAATACCCAACTCCACACCAGATCTAATGAAATTAAGTCATTAAGATGCCTAGGTCATTTGTCATACAAAGTGACATTCGAGAAGCTTCTCAAAGAATATCAAGTAAACACATACATTGCATGCTCCATTTTTACTACTCATATATCTTGTAACTACTGAAGTTATCTTGTCCTTTTCTTTGTTCTAGATACAGTGTCTTGCTATACAGTTCAGATTCCCAGCAATATTCCTGTCTCAGCCTCCCCAGGACTGGGGCTACAGGCATGTGCCATCATGCCTGGTTTTGAGGCTAGCACAAAGTGCTCAGGATTCCAGGGCTCAAATTTGGGACTTTGTGCTTGCCTGGAATGTACTTAGGCTGCTTAGCTACCTCCCCAGCCCATTGTCATTCTTGACAGGTTAAAATTTATACTTTGTGTAGCAATGCTACACAACAAACCAAGATGTTCCCGATTTAAAAAAGCAAATTAAAAAAAAAAAAAAAATTCCTGGTATACTAATTTAGAAACCTACCTCTTATCAAAAAATGTTGAATTTTCTTTCCTCTTAGTGAATCCATTGGGTAGAAGTTTTAGGGTAATACCTTGCCTTCGGGCACGATTTTTCATAAAGTACATCTAATAAAACAAAACAGATAAATTAATCTTAAAATGGCTTACAATCAGTAATGAGTAAAATCATGTTCAATAATAGTGAAGGTTATTGAACTGTGTACTTGCAACCGTACTGATTACTGAGTATGTTTCACAAACAACAAAATTTCATTCAATATTTATAAAGATAATGAGACATAAATACTTGGTCATGTCCAATTCAGCAACAAGAATTAGTGAAAATTTAACATCATATGGCTATTTTTGAAAGATAGAACCTGTATTAAAATCCAGGTCCACCAATTCTACAGCCTGTGGAAGGAATTGCTTTTAACCATCGGATCTATAAGCCAAAGGAAGAATCAGAGATATCTGTTTTTTGGGGAATGTGAATGATTAAATTCAAAGCTTTGCACATCCAAGTTAAATATTCAACTAATGAGCTACAATACATTCCTAGATCCAGTGATTTTCCTCTTACTTTTGCAGTTTTATACCAGTTAGGTACATACCCTCGACTACACAGACAGCTTACTCAAGGAAGGAACAATAGTGTATGGCCTGGGACAGTACCTAATTAAAGTAGCCACTATAGTGGAAATTATAAAACACTCTATTATGCAACTATTCCATTGACCATCAGGGCTAGTTAAGCTGAACTAAGTAATTTCAAGAGTTGTAAAGGGGTAAACTTGTAGGACACATAAGACAGAAATTTATATTTTTTAATTTAAAAAAATGTTTTAAAGAGAGTATAGTAATAATTGATGACATTAGAAACAGTACACATTTAGAAGACCAAGATGACAGGTATTCAAGCCTGGTTTTTACATTACACATTGCTGTCCTTGATATAGAAATTTATATTCTTGAATGTATATATTAAGAAAGAATTATATATTAAGAGTAAACAAGTATAATAGAAATGAATATTCAACATTAACCCAATCACATATCTTAAAGAAGATATCCTTTTAGAAAAAGACCATAAAAATAAGCTAGAAGAGAACAAAGATGCAACAAAAATTAAAAGGATACATTAACAAGATAAAAAAGAAACATATTAATTGATCTAAAAAAACTCAAATATAACCATTATCAAAAACTGAATAACCCCCATAGACACATAAAAGAATCCATTATAAAACTTCCAATAAATCAAAATTTCAATCAAATGTGCAAATTTTTGAAATTTCTTTTTTTTTTTTTTTTTGTACCAAGAATTGAACTCAGAGCCTTGCACTTGCTTGGCAGGCACTTAAGCCACTGAGCTATCTCCCCAGCCCTAAAAGTCAACTGAAATTTTTTTTTCAAATGTGCAAATTTTTACAAAAATTAAATATATCAATGACTCAAGAGACACAGAATCAAAACGGTCCTCTAATCAGGAAAAAATATACCTCAGTGGCCCAAATTCTAAGCTCATACCAGTTCAATGATAAATTTCAATATTCATCAATATGTCCAAAACCAAAACAGAAACCATCCCAACTAACTTTACGAAACTAAAACCTTACTGATACAGAATCCTAAGGATATCAAAAGGGAAAATTAGAGGTCAATTTCTTTCTTGAACATAAATAAGAAATGAATGGATGGATAATGTACACACACTAAAGTCTGTAAAGTATAGAAAGCATAACAGGTGGTGATAACAGTAGACCATGGAAAATTAGCCTAAAATACAAGATGAATTAAGACTGCTCATATCTTTATTAGAGTATGATAGGTGAAAAGGATAAAAGTGAATACTGAAACAAGCAGGTGATAAAATATAACCACATTCATAAGATTTATTAGCAAACTAGGATTAGAATTTCATTACTCTAATAAACTAGGTATACAAAAGAATCATGAAAGTTTGCCCTCTAAGATCAAGGAACAAGATGAAAATTTACAGAAGTTATAACAAGCCTGAAACTAAACATTAAACATGTCCATATAGTGACATACAACTTTCCATAAATGATAATGGCTCATCACTATGCTTAATTTTTATTTAACCAATGTGGCATTTGTTAAATTTGGTTTTCATTCTTGGGCTCTGAAATTCTGTTGTATGCTAGGTAGAAGATGCCTCTGTGACTAATCCTCAATTAATAATGCCTTAGGCACTGAATTTCCACTGAGCATTTCTGGTAGAAAACATTTCATCAGCGCTATTGCAACTTATTAATAGAAGAATTACACACATGTGATTTCAATGGCAAAGATCTATTAGAAACTGTGATCTGCTTCCTCTAGATTCTGTTTCATAAAAATTCCCTTTTCTAATTTTGTTTCATGTCCTTTCATGATAATAAATTTTAGTCCTGTGACTCTTTCTAGAGAATCTTCAAAGTGAAGATTGTTTTGGGACTTTTCAACACAGAAATGGTGGTCTTAGTTACTTCAATAAGGCAAAAAGAGAGAAATATAGACTATGAAGAAATAAAATAGGAATCCTGTGACTCTAAGGTACTAGGATTTTAATAGTTGCTTACAGTAAAAAAAAAAAAAATGACAAAAATCTCACACCTATGTGCAAGTACAAAGAAAAAATGAAAAATGCTATTTAAAATAATGTCAAAAGGGCTGAAGATGTAGGTCAAGACCTTGAATTTGATTAAAAAAAAAAAAAAAAGGCCAGGAATGTCCCTAAGAAAAAATGTGTAAGAAAAATACCCACAGAGGAGCTTATTATATTATTATCATACAACCTAGGCTGCTGACTATCAGCCTAATCTCTCTATCTGTCTGAATATCAAACATCTTAGGCTTAACTAAAGGTGATTCAGGTAAATGTGGAATGCAGAGAGAACACAGTCCAAAGATTCATGTTGTAAAGAAAATCTCCCAAACTGATCTGTAGAATACAACCCCATCAAAATTCCCAAGAGAATAAGAGGGGACTATAGAATTAGACTGATTTTTAGTAACTGTATGGAACTGCAAAAAGCAATGAATAGCCACACTCCAGAGAACAAAGTGAGAGAACTTATTCTATCAGATTATGAGTTTAGTAAAAAAACTGAATGGTTAGGGAGAGGTTGGTTAGAAACATACTTAAGAAATAAAAAATTCTACTGCTCTATAGCATATTTGAGTGAATAAAGTTAGCAATCATCTATTTTATTTTATTTTTTTGTTATTTATTTTCTATGTATTTTAGTATTTTACATTTTAGTATTTTAGTACAGGGTCGACAGGTTGTCACTACAGATCGGACTTGTCGTGATCCTTCCTGTTTTTCCGCCTCCCACGCGCAGCAATAATTTATTATAATTTCAATATGGTTAGAAGAAAAGATTTTCAACGGCCCCAACACAAAATGTAATTTTTGAGATAACAGGTATACTAATTACTCTGATTTGATCATTATACATTGTACACGGGGGACCGGGGAGACAGCTCAGGGCAATCAATGCTTGACTGGCAAGCACAAGGTCCTGAATTCAATCCCTGGTACCACCACACAAAAAAGGGCATACACGTGCATTGAAATAACATACTTCAGCCCATAAATACGTACAGTGATTTAGGATTTTTTTTTTTTTTTTTGCTCTGAATGCCTTCAAGGCAGGTTTGCCTGGCTTGAGTTGTGGAGATCAAACTGCAGCAACCGGAGCCTGACTGCTTTGCTGAAGCAGCCACTTAAAGAACTGAGCTAAGGGGCAGGCCTCCTGTACAGTGTTTTAATTGCATGAAAAAAATTACAATAACTTAGAGTGTGTAGTGTTGTTCCAGGACATACAAGCTGACTAACAGGATGGAATACACAGGTCAAAACTGACCAAAACAGGGGCCAGGGAGATGGCTCAGTGGAATAAGCACTTCCCTGGCAAATGCAAGGGCCTGAGTTCAATCCCTGATTCCACAAAAAACAAAACAAAACAAAACTGACCAAAACATAGAGCGATGATTGATAAGTGACAAAGGTGCTTCTGTAAAGCAGTAGTGAAAGGATGGACGTTCTAGTACATAGTGCTAGGAATAGTGGATTGTCGATATGTAAAGTTAAGCTGGGACTTCCATCAAAGATCAATTCTATTTTAAAGACAAAAATTTGAAGCGCAATACTATAAAGCAGTGGTGGCACACGTATGGCATGTATGCCACAATGGGTTGGTTATATGATTGAGAGCTCTAAATTGCCATATCACTATTACTGGCCATCAATATCATAAAACATTCAGAAAATACTATAGAAAATATATTTTTGGGTCACAGAGATAGCTCAGTAGATTAAGTGCTTGTCGGGCAAGCACACGGTCCTGAGTTCAATCCCTGGTACAGCAAAAAAAAAAAAGAAAATACATATTCATTAATTTTAAAGAAAGGATTTCTGTAAAAGACCTAAGACCACAAAAGCATGTGGTAATTTAGACTATATTAAAATTAGGAGCATTTGTTCACTAGAAGAACCTGTCCAATGAAAAGAGAACTATAGATTGTATTCATAACACATAATCAACTACTGAGAAACATTTAAGAAATACAACAAAAGGAAAACTGACCAAAAGGAAGGGGGAAAAGGTGTAAGATTTTGCAACTCCAATACTAAATGGTCTCTGAAAAATGAACATAAATCTGTGATGTGAGATACTCATAATACTAAAAAATTTCTAGAATACAAGTTGTGAAGTATTTCAAATATTCACTTTAATTTTGAAAAGTGCCTAAGAAATGAAAAAGGGATGCAAGAGTATGAAAAGCGTATTTCAATAGCAAATCTTCTTAGTGCTTCTTCAGAACTGGAATCTAATCACTTCTCACTTAATTCTAACAGCAGGACTCAAACCATCACCATCTCCCACATGGGCCACACTACAGGACCCTGTAACTCACTTCTTTGTTTCTAACCTTTTATTCTTAAACCCTGGAGTACACAGCAGGAACAGTGGTGTTTCAAAAAGCAAACATGCTCAAAACCCTTCTGTGAATTTTACATTCCCTTAGAACAATACTGAGAATCCTTACTAGTTTCTCTAACTTCACGCTTAGCATTCTTCACACTTTGCTTCAGACACCGTGCTCCTCTTAATTCCTCACACATACCAACCTTATCCCTGACTTAGCTTTTCAGTTCTGCTTTTGTCTCTACATGGCTTAGTCTTCCTCCAAATGTTTGCTTGTCACTTTTTTCCCTCCTCTTCCCACCTGGCTGCTTAAGTATCATTTCTCAGAGAAGCTTCTCTTGAAAACAAACTTCTGGCAACATTTCCCCAGCAAACACCATTTTCATTCTTTTTATCCCCCGAAACTTTGTTTTCTATGTGTGTTTAATTCTAATGTTATAATTCTTCCTCTATACTTCTCCTCTCTCCCACTCACAGTTATATTTATAGTAACTAGAATGGCCCCTTGACCATGGTTAAGTTGAAGAAAAAAACAAAAAAAAAAAAGAATCTGACTGGAAGTCTCACTAGAAGAGATTAGAATACTTACATATTTATTGCTTATTGGCTTTCTCAAAAGAGCATCTCTGGAAATATGGTCAGCTGTTCTTGCCACATCTTCCAAAAATCGATAATCTAAAATTTTCAGAATAGAAAACTAAACAAGTGACATATGTCAACTGCCAGGAAGCATTAATCTGCTGTGTATAAAATGGCTTACCACTTAGGAGATTCATTTCAGTAAACTGTTGTATTGAAACATAAGCGGTTTTATCTCGAACTCCATTACACATCAGTTCTGCTTTGTGTTTCTTTACACAGGGCAAGCTGAAGAAATAAAGAGAGAAATACTTTTACATTTTGAAGAAGCATACAGATATAGGTAGTAAGGTAGAAAATCCTATGTATACCTGCAGGAATATCGCATACAACGTGGACATTTGTACTTTGCTTCTTCTGTACCACAAGTTTCACACCTACAAAAACCCAGATGAAATGCTGTTATCAAATATTAATCCTATTTATTTAGTCATAAGTTCTAAATGTTGATTTAATTACTTGTCATAATTCAGATGTGCTCATGACGATTAAAGCATGCATAAGCAACTCTGATAAAATTCCTGACAGCTGTCAAACACTGTTGAAAATTCTCTAAATAACATCTACATTTACATAGCCAAAAAAAAGTGTATGACCCATTCAAATTTAAAAAGCAGCATTCATGTCTTTTATCCTCAACTCCACATCTAACTTAGAATGGGCATCAAAATAATTTATAAATGCTATTACTCATCATCGTTTTGCTAGCACAGGATACTGAGAGGCTTTTATAGCTTCTTCTATTTGAGTCACTGTTTTCTAGACAGCAATATTCCCAACAACTGACCACAGTGTCATTTCCTACATCATAAGCATGATTACACACTAAGAAAATTAAAGGCAATAAACATTACTACTGGGGCTGGTGATATGGCTCAGTGGTCTGAAGAACCTACTTAGAACAAGCTTAGCAAAGCACAGGGACCACGGTTCAATCCCCCAGCACCACATGCCAGCCCGCCCCGCCCCCTGGTGGGCTGAGCTGCCCCCCCAACATAAGTTTAAAAAAAAAAAAACAAACACTACTACCTATACAGAAGCTCACTAAATTCAAGTTAATATCTGCCTACTTAACTCAAGCCACTCTGTCATTGTTGGTTTTCCTAGACTTGTTCATTTTTATTATCTTTGAAACCAATACTGAGTCAAGTTTATTAAATTAGCCAGGTTTGGTTCCAAAGGTCTTCTGGTTCCTAGAACATTTACTTTGTAAGTTGACCACTACCCACTGATCATTCCCACTAATAGAATTTGTTTACTATTATTATTATTATTTTTGTATTCTGGGGAATGGTCTACAGGGTGTTCAGGGTCTCACTACACGATCGGACTCGTAGTGATCTGCCTGTTTACAGCCTCCCAAGAGCTGAGATTACAGCCTTGCGCCACCATGCCCAGCCTCAACTGCTGTCTCAGTGTGCCCCGGGGGTGGGGCCGCACTTGGCAGGCCCTGAACCCCTGGCTCCTGCGCCCTGCTTTTAATCCGCTGAGTTATTTGGCTGGCCCTTGAATTTGTTATTTTAACAACATTCCTCTTCACCTCTCTCTGCACAAGACTCCACTCAGACGCTGTTTTTCACTATTCCCCTTTCTGGGAACGCTCGTGTAGTTCCCGACAATCTGGACAGAGCAGACCCAACAGCTTCATGCTCTCAACCGCATCTCTTCCAACCCTACCTTGACATTGCCAGTTTTCGCTTACTGCCCACGGGGGGATTTATCTGAAGCTCTTCTTCCACCTTTACATCTTCCGTTACTTCTTCCTTCAGGAAAAGCCCCTCTTCTTTTACACGCACTCCGTCCATCATTTCCTCCCGTTGCATACTCTGATCAACAAACATCTCCTGCTCCATCTCCAAGCTACCTTCCTCTTCCTTCACTTCTGGCCAATCCATTACCTCTTCCGTTACCTCTTCCTTTACCTCCACTTTCTCTTCCTTCTCGTCTGGTCCATCCATCTTTTCTTCTTTCACTACCAATGTGCCACCCGCTTCCGGCCTCACCTCCACGACGCCTGCTTTCTCCTCCTCCACCTCAGCCCCGTCCTCCGCCTCCCGCTTCTCCCACTGCGCGTCCCACACGCCGCCGTCTACATCCGACCAGTCCGTCCCTTCTAGTTTCACAACTGTCGAGTCCACGCGCATCTCCACGGCCCTCTGCTCACTCCCTTCCTCCGCGTCCTCCATCTTCACTCCTCTGCGCCCACTTGCATGCTCGCCGCCGCCAGGCGCCTCCATCCCCGCTGGGTCCCCGGCCTCCACCTCCCTACCAGGCTCCAGCCGCGCCCCCTCAGGTACCCTCTGGAGACCTTCTCCAGAGTCCCCTTCATTTTCGGTAGCAAATGCCATCAGCTCACGGTCTTTGGCTTACGATGCCACTCCGCCTTCAATGTGGCTGCACCACAGCAACAGGCAGGATCACCGGGCGAAAAACATCGGCACACGTGCGGACACCAGTCGCAAGCAGAACTGCTAGGCTGGAGCGCTCCCACTGTCGTAAAGCACCGCTCGGCACGGCACTTCACGACTTACGGAGGTCTTTACGGCTGATCGGCGGTCCTGCCCCATCCTTCGCGAGAAATGCGGGAAGCCACGCCCACTGCACCTCCCAGAGAAGCCCATGAAGCCACGCCTACTGCCCCTCCCATCTTGGGTCTCGGGGTGGGATTTCGCTACCTCCTCACCTCAAGGCGACCTCTGTTTGAAAATGATGGAAACGAATGAAGTTATGTTTTTCCAAGCTTCAGTTGCTTGCCCTGTGCTTTACAGAGTCCCATCGCGATTGCAGCCAGCAGTGGCTCCCAGACTCAATACTGTACCTGCGGCTGTTGTTACGGGAACCTGATAGGTTTCAGGTATGCACTTTTATTTTTCAACTCAATTATCGGTAACAGTTTATATGGCCCAGTTTTCAATTCCCAGCGTTCTACACGACTTTTTGTTTTCCTTTCTATTGGTACATTTTAGATATACATAATAACATGCATCATAAGGAGTTTGTAGCTGTATCGGATATATCTCGCTTGACTAAAATCAAGCGTATTATCTGTTCATACCTTTTTTTTCTTTTTTTTTTTTTTTTTTTTTGAAACAGAGCCTCGTTCTGCAGTTTAGGCTGGTTTTAAAACGCCTGTGTAGCCCAGGCTGGCCTTGAACTCTTGGCGACCTTCCTGACTAAACCTCCCAAGTAATAGTATTACAAGTGTGCCCAGACCATGCCCTGCTTTAAACATTCTTCAGGGTTTGTTTGTTTTTTGTGTGTTTGTTTTGTTTTGTGAGATGGGGTCTTGCTTTGTAGTCTGCACTTAAGCTTTATATATTTTTTTTGTGTTTTGTCATGGTCTCACTTTGGAGTACAGACTTTAAACTCGCTGAGTAGACCAAGATAACTTCAAACTCCTCTGGCCTCAGCCTCCCAAGTGCTGGGATTACAGGTGTGACCCACATAGTTTCTCAATCTACATTCTTGTTTTTAAAGACTGAGACAAAAATTAAACACCAAAGAATAGATTTAAACGCACTGCCATGCACTGAAGAAAAAACAACAAACGCTGTATCTGTTTCAAGGCCTTTAAAAAAGTATATCCTGGGCCAGGGAGATAACTCAGTGGAATAAGTACTTGCCTGGCAAGAGCAAGGTCCTGAGTTTAATCCCTGGTACACACACACACACACAAAAAAAAAAAAAGTATATCCACATTCTGGGCAATAAACACATTTGTTTAATTTTCAGACTGAAATGAGGTTTTTCTCACTGAGTAAAGAAACTAAGAGGCTTTTTAGTTGTAGGCCTCTGTGCAGTTCCCCGCAGACCTTGTTCACATAGTGGTCTGGGAATGGAAATTTTAAGTGGATTAGCAGCGTGAGGAAGGGAAATAATTTGACACCTTTGGTTTAAGTGTTGAGAATGAAATGTGGAACCTCACATGCACTAAGTGTGCAGCTCTACCATTGAGCTACACTCCCAGCCGTGAGGTGATTTCCAAATCTCAGTTGGGGTGCTACTGTTGGCATAGCACTGGAGGGAGCATGAGAGCATGTAAGTAAGTTTTTTTTTTTTTAATTTTATTTATTTATTTATTTATGTGTGTGTGTGTGTGTGTGTGTGGCCAGCTCAGCCCACCAGGGGCAGGGCTGGCTGGCATGTGGTGCTGGGGGATTGAACCGCGGTCCCTGTGCTTTGCTAAGCTTGTTATAAGTAGGTGCTTTAGACCACTGAGCCATCTCACCAGCCCGAAAGTAAGTTTTTGTGAGTTAAGTAAAAATCTCCATACAGGTTGTGAGGAGCAAGCTCCCACAGGAATCATAAGGATAGTTAGTGTCAGAACTTGAAGTGTAGTACCGTGTGTATTAATAGTGTGTATCATTTTATTCATGAATAATATTCTATTATATGACTGTACTATACTTTTGCATTCAACGACTATTTAAGTTCATGTATATTTGAAGTTTATTTTTTTTAAATTTTATTTATTTATGTGTGTGTGTGTGTGTGTGTGTGTGTGGCCAGCTCAGCCCACCAGGGGGCGGGGCTGGCTGGCATGTGGTGCTGGGGGATTGAACCGTGGTCCCTGTGCTTTGCCAAGACCGCTCTAAGTAGTTGCTTTAGACCACTGAGCCATCTCACCAGCCCCAAGTTCATGTATATTTGGGTGGTTTCTAGTTTGGGCTGTTATGAAAATACAGTTTCTAAATTTATATGTAGTTTTTCTTTTTTTTTGGATTTTTTTCCCATAATTTTATTGATAAACAAATAGCAATGAGACAGTTTCAAATCAAATCGGTATATGTAGGTTTTTGTGTTAACATTTTTTTTTCCTTTAGTAGATACTAGAAATGGATTGCTGGGCTATAAGGTAGTTTATGTTTAATTTTTAAGAAATATTGAAATTGTTTTCCAAAGTAGTGATACAATTTTACATTTCCACTGGCTGAGAGATTCTAGTTTCTCCACATACTTGTCAACACTTAGTATTGTCAGGTTTTTCGTTGCAGGTGTTTAGTAGTTATCTTAGAATTGTGAATAAATTTGCACTTTTTTTTATGTGGCCAAGCCTGGCCTCAAACTTGCCATCTTTCTGTCTCAGTCTCCAGAGATCTGGTGCCACCAGGCCCAGAAACATTTGTTGTTTTAAACTGTTAAGAGTATGATATTCTCTGCATGGTAATAGAGGATTAATGCCAAGTGGTTTACAAATTATTTTCCAATTGTGGCTTGATTTTCATTTTCTTATTTGTATCGTTTAAAGAACAAAAGTTTTGCCTTGGATTTTTCAATCCAATTCAGTGCATAGTCTGTTTAATGAATTGTACTTCTTGTATTACAGTAATCAAGTTTTGCCTATTATAGAGATATTCTCTTGTATAGTATCTCCTAGAAGTTGTATGGTTGTGGGGGTTTTGTTTTGTTTTGTTTCGATAAACTGATGTACTCCCTCTACTCTTGATAAGTCCTTTTACCACCCTAGTCACTAGCCCTACATATGCCATAAAGTACAGCAATATAAAGATGATTTTTAGAATTGGTGTCTTAACAATATTGTGTCATAGAATCAAGAAAAAAATAAGAGCTTATCTGTTTATTTAGATTACCTTTAATTTTAGTTAGCATGTTTTATAGTTGTGAATGTACAATCTTTGCCATGTCTTTTTGCTAAATTTATTCTTAATTTATATTATTTTTGATGTGATTTTAAAATAAATTTAACTTCACTTTGGATATTTCATTGCTGGAATCTAGAAAAAGACCTGATTTTTATGTTGATTTTGTATCCTACTTACTAAGCCAACTTATAATATCTATACAACTAGATTCGATTAATTTAGAAGCTTTTCTACCTTTTTGAGGAGTATCTATTTGTACTGTTAGTCTCTGACCTATGACGGTTCAACTTAAGATTTTTACATTTTACTATGATGCTAAAATGATACACATTTAGTAGAATCATACTTCTAGTTTTGAATTTTTTAAAAAATGTATTTAGTGCTGGGTTTACATGGTCTCACTACACAGATTGGACTCATAACGATCCTCCTGTTTTCAGCCTCCCAAGTGCTGGGATTAAAGGCACATGTCACCACACCCAGTCTCAATCACTGTGTCAGCGTGCCCCAAGAGCAGGGCCAGCACAGCAAGTTGGGGGTCTAGCTTTGAATTTTGACTTTTCCTAATGATATGTGGTATGATACCTTCTGACCATGCTGGGCAGAGGCAGCAAACTCTAGCTCCCAGCACAGTCCAACTTCCTGTGTTGCTAAATTAGGATATTTTGTCTGTTAGCTGTATTAAATATTTTTTTTTCCACTGCTGAGGATTGAACTCAAGACTTTTGTACTGAGTTTTATAACCAGCCTTTTAAAAAATTATTTTTGAGACAGGGTCTCAGTATATCACTAAGACTGGGCATGAATTTATGATCCTTCTTCCAGAGTGCTGAGATTACAGGTATGCTCCACCATAGCTGATTTAAATATTTTTTTTACTAACGGTATTTTCAGTTAATGATGATTTTATTAAGACTTAATCCCATGGTAAATTGAGGAGCATCTATATTTCTCTTTTCTTGTCATGTCAGATTTTTTTTAAAATCAGGGTTCTTACCATTTTAATGTTCTTGGTTTCCCATCTCTTTATTGATTTCAGATACTTCCTCTGAGAGTTCAGGTAATTTATAACCTCAGTATTTTGTTGTCTGGTGGTATACAATCTGTTATCTGGCTTTTAAGTTTATTACTATATTTTTCATAACTGTTGTCCACAGCATATATTGCTGTATATTTCTGATCCTTTCTTATCTATTTGTAGGTATTTATTCTGCTCACTTAAACTCTTCACTTTTTGTCCATTAAGTCAGTTCCTTCAGTATAAATTATCCAATTAAATTTTTTTATGGATTTACACTCCCAAGATGTTGCAGTATTTCCCCCTTTGATCTCATATTCCCTTGTTGGTATCAGTAAACATAGCTAAAGTCCTTGTTTGAAAGGTAGGATGAAAAGTCTAGGAATGGGACTGTGACTCTTCTAATGATGCAGAAGGGACAGTTAAAGAGCAGAGTGAACATGCCTCGGGGTCGAAAGCCTGTGGTGTTACTTTCTGGGTTCTGCCAAACTCAGTCTGTTTGAGTTTAAGAAAAGAACATGGCTCTTGGGTTAATTGCCAGTACCCTTGCATTTGCCATCCTTTTTCCAAAAGCTATTCTTTTGGCAATCACCTAGAACCATAGGTAGAAGGAAAAGCAGACAACAAATTCAAGCCAACCTGGATGCGTAGTCATTAGCTTCCCTGAAAGTATTCTAGTTCATTGGGCTAGTGCTGAGCAGACCTACCCGAAGTGGGCATTTCCTCCATCCAGGGTGATGTGGAAGTAGAAAAGGACACAATCTCTGAATTCCCCTCCCATTTCGAACCTGAGTCTATCAGCCTCTCTCTTTGGCTCCCAGCTTTCCTTTCTTCATCATACAGGAACTCAATTCCATTTCATCTGTGGGCTTCTCAT